TTGCAACTTTAACTTTGCAGATTCCTGTACTTTGATTGGCTGAATTGTGTCACTTGCTGGCTGCTTGAAGATTGGAATGCGCCACGCGTGCAAATCATGCTTAATGTCGCGCGCGAGGTCTAGCCGTCTGTTTAAATTAAACCACCTCTAGTACCACCACCAGCCAGTAACTTTTGCTGGGTATACTTGACCATTGTTAATATATATAATGGTCTGGCCCGGTGTTAGGTAGGGGTATAGTGAATTGAGGGTGAACAGGTTTGCAAATATCTCACGGCCTGTATTAGTATCTTATAAAATATTTGTACTGAGAGACGGGTAGTCGGTCGATTAATTTAAAGTCTTTATCAATTTAGAAAATATTTGGAGTCAGCGTAACAAGCTGAAAGTTGTAAGGTTTGTATGATTGAGATGTCTCACGGCGTGAAGCTGTAGTTAGTATTTTAAGCCGTTGTAAATTAGTAGTTATTTGGAATTGTGACGTTCCCGGTGGGAAAAGCAGTGGCTTAAAGATTGTTAAAGTTTCAAATTTATTAGAACTTATAGTTAAAAGAATACTTACAATTATTTTAACAGCATTGATTGTTGATTATTGTGTTGACGAACTAGCCGAGGTGTTACAAGAGTGCCATGAGAATCAACTCCCCCTTCAACTCCCCAAAGACCTGTCAACCAGCACTATACAAAAAGGGAAGCTCGCCTGCTGCTGGCTGCCTTTCGCCTTCTGCATTCACCTGTCTCCTATCATGGCCCGGGGTCTTGTTCTGCTGTGTCCGTTCTCTCTCCACATGTTACTCATTTCTATTATAGGTTCGTAATTTAGATTAAGTTCTTGATCATGTTATTGTCATTGATTGCATTCGTATCAAAAGGTTGACCTTAAAGATTAGTTCGTACTTAGGTCAATTTCCGTCGTATAATGCTTAATATGCCGTTAATATACATAATATCTCATCAGATTCCTCGCACTACTAGTACTACCTGTTCCCGATAGATCCTTCCAGAATTAGGCTATGGAGTTCCTTTCCTGAGGTAAAAATCTTACGTAAACCTTAATCCATCGTTCATAATCATAGCACTTTTCCACTCGTTAAAGTCGACGATTGTAGTATTATAGTTATTTCCTGTGTACTAATTATTAGTTCTAATAGTTATTAATTTCCAGGCAATATGACGGTGATACCCACCCCACTTGCTCTGCCTGTCCTCACCTAAGCTCCACCAGTCGTATTGCTTCGTAAGTTTATTACGTCTTCATTAAGAGGTTCCTACGATAGATTTTCCCTTAATTTAACTTAATCAATCTGATTATTGTCACTACTTAAACGCTCCGTACTTATAATTATCTTACTTCAGATTGATTCCCCCCTCCTTCCTCGAGAACCGTTCGTCACTATGTTAGATCCTCGAGATGACCATGCAAGATGGTTCAGTTCTAGTTGACATTCCACTATATGAAAAGACCAGATCGCCACTTTATATTCTTATTCCTTGAGAGAGAGAGAGAACCGGAACAGCGACCTCGTGAATCATCCTATTTAATCGCTTCACCCTCGCCACATTCGCTACTACTTCAATTATTGGGGTAAATGGACATTAAGACTAAGTTATGAGATATGAGAGTTAAATTAATATTGTAGTCCTATTTAACCCAATTATTTTACAACCCTTTATTAATTTGTTTTAATTGGTTATCTTCCAGATATAAATTCACCTTAAATTCTGAAATCCATAATTACAATAGAAATTACTGTCCTAAAAATGCATCTGTACAAAGAGAGTTTGGGTTTGAACTGTGCCCTGAGTGAGTTTCAAACCGGGAGGTATTCCATAATATCGGAACTTGAATTTCCATACTCTAGTTAAAAGGAGCCCATTATACGTAGTTAATTTAATACCATCACAAAGTAATGAAATATAACAAATAAATAATCTCTAGAAGTCATGGAAAATTGGAGCATTAAATAGGCCGTTAAGTAAGTTGTCGTGCTGAAACCCGAGTACGCCACTTAACAATGTAGCCCTAATGCGGCTCTCTCTGTACAAAATTTTCTAGCAAAATTTTCAAAAAATCTGGAAGAGACACCAAACCTTAGTTTGTTTTGTTAGTGCACCGTTAGTGCAATTTGTTTATTTACATTGATATTAGTTGTTGCAGCCATCGCCATAAAATGATGAAGTCACAGCAGAGGAAGTAGGTTGAAGAGAGAATTGTTTAGTGTAGAAGTTGAAAAGTAATTATGAGATATCGTGGGTAAGTTGTGATGATATTATATACGGCCGTATAATTAGGTAAAGATGGGAATGATACGAGAGATGTATGATGTTACGAGATAATGAGATTATGTTATAATGAGATGTTGAAATGTGAGACAATTATATTATGGGGAGATATATTAAACTGCAGTATAAATTATTAGCCGGCTAAGGGATACGGGGTTTAGAAGATGTTGTGAAGTTTATTGGGAGGAGGTGCTATAATGGTTGTTGACAAGGTGTTAGTTTTAATAAGTAGATGGGCTTCTTATCTGTTATTTGAGTGTTGTGATACCGCCAAAAGCGCGCTTGGTGGTTAGAAACACTTCGGATTCAGTACGACCCTTCGAACTTTGAAACTAAGATTGGCAACATGATTTAGCGTAATAGGGTATGCGGACGTGAAGAAGAGAAGATATGATACAGAGGGAGATTTGATAAGGGATTTGTTGTTTAAAAATAAAGATGATTTAGCGTAATACTAATAGGGTATGCGGACGTGAAGAAGAGAAGATATTTTAATTATGATGAGACAGAGGGAGATTTGATAAAGGGTTTGTTGTTTAAAAAATAAAGATGATTTAGTGTAATAGGGTATGCGGACGTGAAGAAGAAGGGAAGATATTTTAAATGAAGTAGATACATAGAGAAGTGATTTGAGATAGAAGTGATGTTGTTAAAGTTGGCATGGTGGAATCATGCTGGGAAATAAGGGATTGGGAAGAGGGATGAGCTCCTTATAATCCCAGTCCTTAACAGGGGGAGGCGGATCTGCAAGGATCCGGGGACACGTTAAACATTTCTATAGTGCTGGAGAGGAAACTGAAGGCTCCCGTGTCTAACGAAGTGTGAATTAACACACTGCCTTGGTACCCTCTAGTCGGCCGTGTTTTCGGGCTACCTGGTGTTCAGTACCTGGAGCTTGTCACCCCCAGGACTGGACATACGTCCCCAGGCAAGTGGAACACGGTGGTACGTGGACGACAGTCCACACCTAGCTAGTATCTTATCTTTTTGAACCCCACAAAGGTGGAAAATTACCCAGAAAGGGAGTAAATAAAAATTTGGAAGATAAGATCTAGTGAACAGGCAAGGCAAGAGAAAACGGTCAAAGTTCATAGTTGTGACAGCTAAGTCCTCTATGGGTCAGACCGTCGGTGGAACCCAGGAGTGCCAATCCCACTTACTGGTCATCCATCGCTACAGACTGGGTCCCTTGCCGGTAGGTTCACATATGCGTAACATCCTTTTATGTAAAAGGTTGCGTGATCTGCTCAATGTACAGTCGGGCCTACATAAGCTAAAAGCGACTTGGTCTTTATGATCGTCCAGTTAGTAAGCGAATGTAGCTGTTGTGATCGAGGGGATTAAAAAGTGAACCTCGGGAAGCAATGGGCAGTTCTTTAAACTGCGGGAATGGGGTCAGCTCAGACTGCGCCTGGTTACACATATGGATTAAGTAAGAATAAATAAGTAAGTAAGGGTGCATAAAATGAAAGTTATGATTGAATAGAAGCAGTTGAAATGTAACAGGAGGTCGAAGACCAGAAGTGACAAATTTTGTTGAAGTTGGGGTAATTTACGTTGTGAAATATGGCTGGTGGCTGCACATTAATTACTGCATTAGGCATTTATAGATTTGTGAAGAAATAACAGTAACGCACTCCGCGACGCCTTCATCAACAATATCACAGATTCCGGAATTAGTGCTAGACTCAGGGAAACCCCTGACTTACCCAATGAGCAGCTATTAGAGCGAGCAGAACTTTTGATTAACTGCAAAAATGCATCTCAGTTTAAAAGCAACCAGCAAGTTAATGCAACCATAGAGCTTGAAAATGCCACTACCACTGTTAGTAACCAAGACGTGTTATACAAGTTAGATACTATAATTGAGTTATTGTCTACCAATGCAAGTACACAAGTAGACCCTGGAACTTATAACCCTGCTGAGAATAGTGACCAAATTGTGTCGGACAATTACGGACAGTACTATGACAATAAAGATAATTACGACCAGAATATGCACTACAATGACACATACAATTACAACGACTTTACTTTGAGATATTAACTTATGGTAATTCAAATGTTTGTTTGTACGATTATATTTAATTTTGTTGGTTGTGCGCGAGAAATACGGTTCTTTAAATTAATGATTTTTTACTATAAGAACGGGCATACCTTATTACTAATAGTTCTTTTGAAAATTTTTTTTTAAAAGAAAAAAAAAAAAAAGAAGGTTGTAGATTTATCATTTTCTTTAATTATAGATAGTTTTGATATGACGTGGTCGTCATTAATTTTCGATCGGGGAGATGTTAGGTAGGGGTATAGTGAATTGAGGGTGAACAGGTTTGCAAATATCTCACGGCCTGTATTAGTATCTTATAAAATATTTGTACTGAGAGACGGGTAGTCGGTCGATTAATTTAAAGTCTTTATCAATTTAGAAAATATTTGGAGTCAGCGTAACAAGCTGAAAGTTGTAAGGTTTGTATGATTGAGATGTCTCACGGCGTGAAGCTGTAGTTAGTATTTTAAGCCGTTGTAAATTAGTAGTTATTTGGAATTGTGACGTTCCCGGTGGGAAAAGCAGTGGCTTAAAAATTGTTAAAGTTTCAAATTTATTAGAACTTATAGTTAAAAGAATACTTACAATTATTTTAACAGCATTGATTGTTGATTATTGTGTTGACGAACTAGCCGAGGTGTTACAAGAGTGCCATGAGAATCAACTCCCCCTTCAACTCCCCAAAGACCTGTCAACCAGCACTATACAAAAAGGGAAGCTCGCCTGCTGCTGGCTGCCTTTCGCCTTCTGCATTCACCTGTCTCCTATCATGGCCCGGGGTCTTGTTCTGCTGTGTCCGTTCTCTCTCCACATGTTACTCATTTCTATTATAGGTTCGTAATTTAGATTAAGTTCTTGATCATGTTATTGTCATTGATTGCATTCGTATCAAAAGGTTGACCTTAAAGATTAGTTCGTACTTAGGTCAATTTCCGTCGTATAATGCTTAATATGCCGTTAATATACATAATATCTCATCAGATTCCTCGCACTACTAGTACTACCTGTTCCCGATAGATCCTTCCAGAATTAGGCTATGGAGTTCCTTTCCTGAGGTAAAAATCTTACGTAAACCTTAATCCATCGTTCATAATCATAGCACTTTTCCACTCGTTAAAGTCGACGATTGTAGTATTATAGTTATTTCCTGTGTACTAATTATTAGTTCTAATAGTTATTAATTTCCAGGCAATATGACGGTGATACCCACCCCACTTGCTCTGCCTGTCCTCACCTAAGCTCCACCAGTCGTATTGCTTCGTAAGTTTATTACGTCTTCATTAAGAGGTTCCTACGATAGATTTTCCCTTAATTTAACTTAATCAATCTGATTATTGTCACTACTTAAACGCTCCGTACTTATAATTATCTTACTTCAGATTGATTCCCCCCTCCTTCCTCGAGAACCGTTCGTCACTATGTTAGATCCTCGAGATGACCATGCAAGATGGTTCAGTTCTAGTTGACATTCCACTATATGAAAAGACCAGATCGCCACTTTATATTCTTATTCCTTGAGAGAGAGAGAGAGAACCGGAACAGCGACCTCGTGAATCATCCTATTTAATCGCTTCACCCTCGCCACATTCGCTACTACTTCAATTATTGGGGTAAATGGACATTAAGACTAAGTTATGAGATATGAGAGTTAAATTAATATTGTAGTCCTATTTAACCCAATTATTTTACAACCCTTTATTAATTTGTTTTAATTGGTTATCTTCCAGATATAAATTCACCTTAAATTCTGAAATCCATAATTACAATAGAAATTACTGTCCTAAAAATGCATCTGTACAAAGAGAGTTTGGGTTTGAACTGTGCCCTGAGTGAGTTTCAAACCGGGAGGTATTCCATAATATCGGAACTTGAATTTCCATACTCTAGTTAAAAGGAGCCCATTATACGTAGTTAATTTAATACCATCACAAAGTAATGAAATATAACAAATAAATAATCTCTAGAAGTCATGGAAAATTGGAGCATTAAATAGGCCGTTAAGTAAGTTGTCGTGCTGAAACCCGAGTACGCCACTTAACACCCGGCGCGCGCTACTTCGTAGCACTTGCCATCCAGCCATCGGGCCAATGGCCATAACATTTCGAGAAATAAGCGGCGCGCGCGCGCTCGCGCTACTTCGAAGAAATTTCTAGACAAAGAATATGTTTAATATAAAGTTGGTCTGACCTTGTAGCGCGATGCGTTACTGTGCCGCGCCGCGCACTCAATGAGGCTTCTCTAGATCGGCGTGATGAGGCTTCTCTAGATCGGCGTGATGCGCTACTGTGCCGCGCCGAGCTGAGATGAATTGACATCGTCAATTAAGTCTGACCTTCAAATATTGACATTTGACCGATTTATGGACTGAAATCGTATGCCTAAGTATGGGCATATAGTTTATGGCTCATGACCTTGGTGTTTGATAGATTTAGATAATCTTTAACGGGTGATACTCGTGATAAACTTACAAGATAATCGGGTTTGTTTGTCATACGTTGTATGACCCTGACCCTGACCCTGACCCTGACCCTGACCCTGACCCTGACCCTGACCCTGACCCTGACCCTGACCCTGACCCTGACCCTGACCCTGACCCTGACCCTGACCCTGACCCTGACCCTGACCCTGACCCTGACCCTGACCCTGACCCTGACCCTGACCCTGACCCTGACCCTGACCCTGACCCTGACCCTGACCCTGACCCTGACCCTGACCCTGACCCTGACCCTGACCCTGACCCTGACCCTGACCCTGACCCTGACCCTGACCCTGACCCTGACCTGAGGCAAGAGGGCTCAGCAATGATTTGCAGTTTTCAAGCAAATGAGGTGGTTATCCAAGTACAACATCAAATGATTTCACTTTGGAACAAGCAGATAGCATAAAACGAGCCAGTTATTGGACAATTTGTAAAATAAATTTATGAATCTACCACACCCTAATCGCATTATCTGGAGGTCTGAACACTTTTTCACACACAGCCGAGGTCATACCCTGCAGCCAATGTGAATTAAAAGTTACGTTCTCAGTTATTGATCATTTGAGGGGTGGTCATAGGTAGGTGACATATTGATATGGTCACCTTTATTATGCATCTAGAAAGTATCTATCATCTACTTTAAGTCAATCCCGACAAGATTGTTGGTAACTTCTCCACTTTTCACCTCAGTCCTCCAGCTCTGTTGATACAGCGGGGCTGCTCTGTTGTCTCCTGTACTTTGAGATCTCATGGTCGCCATGGTTACCAAAGTAGCTCCCCTCTTTGTCTTCTTAGGTACGTGCCGTGGACTGTGGAAGATGGGGTTGAACAAACTGTTGACCGGGACCAGGACTATAGCTGTCATCTCATAGAAATCAGGGGGGATCTTCTTGTGAGAGAGTGTCAGGATGGTAGCGATTATTATTGGGATCCAGGCTATTAGTTGTGAAGAAATAATCAAAGAAACCTTTCTTGAAAGCTTCTTGTTGTTCCGCAGAGTGTTCCGTCTGAAGGCCGGGCTTGCTGTGGGAACAACTGACTTGACCCTGATAAACACAATCCAGATGTAGCACACGGTGAAACTCAGAATCACAGCTCCAAGGAAGCTCACATACAGCATTTTGAGAAGCTGTAGATCGTCATCAGGGTCATTGGAGAAGAGATTCTGGATACAAAGAGGCGATTGGTTGAAGAATCCAAACTTGTAGGTCGGAAGAAACAATTCAGGATTTGATGTGATCTTTGAGAGGAGATCCAGTCTATTGGACCAACCAGGCACTTCATACGTTAGGTTGTGTCCGTAGTACTCCTTCAGAAGATCGTCTATAAGTGCTTTGGTACCTTTCTTCATTAGTCTATTGTCCTGGAAGAATATTGTAGTCACGAACACATTCTCCAAATATTCGGTGGGAAAGAGAGCAACTGCACTGCAAAAAATGTTGAGAAAGTTCCCTAGGGTGAGTCCGATGAGGAAGCGTTTGAGAGAGAAGAAGGCGAGCATGTTCTCGCAGTTGTAGCAGCGGATAGCTCCCATGATCACTACAGTCATGAGGGAGCCATGAGAGGAGAGAGTGAAGATGAAACCACTGAAGTTACACGCTGCCGAGGACCTCCAGCTTGCATCATGAAGGCAGTACGAGCCGTAATACTGGAAATTCTTCTGGGTTATAATTAGAAGGTAGACCCCCATCAAAAAATCGTACAGTGAGAGCTGGAGGCACAAAGCACTGTCTATTCTTGAATTGTGACGAATAATGTAGTTGAGTCTAGCCCCATGGCCATACAACCCCCTGCAGTTCAAGACCAGGATCAGAAGACACAATATAACCATATAATAATTCAAATATTTGTTACTTATCATATGTTTCTCATCTGCGAGGTTATCACGTGCACAGGTCTGACACTCGTCCGAGAGGTCGGTACAGTCCGGGACAGCGTCACACACCCTTGAGGGCGCCAAACTCTTGCTTCCATCCGAACAGTAGAATCTGGAGGCGCAGAAGGTTTCATCGGCTTTGTTAGGACAATCGTTGTAGCCGTCACACACGTCCATATCATCTGAGAGAGGGATGCTGCTGCCATCGCCACAGGAGTAGTTCGCAGACAGTGTCTTGGTCGCTGGGTTCATCTCTATGTTGCTCCAGTCGATGAACTCGCAGTGATTCTCAATAGGTTGGCATTGTGTTCTACATGCAGACTTATACGCCTGCTTCATACTCTTAGAATACTGTTTCAGAACTGACTTCTTCTTGGCCCAACCTGTTTCTGTAAAAGTATTCAAACACTTTAACAGTCCCAGACCAGCCTGATCTGAGGTGGAACTAGAGATGAGCTGACCTCCTGCCCGCCCACACTTGTCTGCACGCTCTGTCCTACTTTTACACCTGGAGAAGACTCTGTTGGTTTGGCAGTTCAGGTAATTCTCACAAACACACTCATCGCTCTGATCTAGACAGTCTGGCTGTCCATCACAGACCTGGTCCATAGCCACACAACCCAGACCATCACTACAATAGAATACATCGGCACCCTGGTCACAGCCGCACTCGTCATCAGCGCACGCAGAGACGCCGTCACACAGGAGCTCTGTCTTCAGATAGCAGGTCAGGGGGTCTGATTTTAGTGAGTTGTACAGGTACCTACACTCGTGGTAATCCCCCTTCTTTTCTCGCAGTTCTTTAATTGTTCCAAAGTTTTTCCACCTAAAGTTCAGGCGTAAGGGTTCTCGAAGAACATTTGCTGCCTTTTTCCATGACGAGGATTTCTTCACTCTTGATTTTCTGTTTGTCTCTTTTACTGTCATTTGCCGTTAAAGTCGAATTAGTACAATTTCCCTTTTTCTTTTTATTATTATTCCTGCACACACTACTAGGAGCCTCTAGAACTTTCTCTCCTCCACTTTCTTCCTCCACCTCTTTTGTAATGTTTTTATATCTGTTGTGTTCGGAACTTTTTCTATCAGATTTTCCTGCTTTTATGAAAGTATCGTCAACAATCAGTCCTGATATTCTATTAAGATCCGCAACGGGCTGATGAGGTTGCAATGCTGTACTGTTATCAGCTGCAGCCACATTCCATTTTTTCTTTTCGTCTCTCTTCCCTTCTGCTTTCGTCTCCGTGACGATCCACTGACTATTATACAAATGCTCAGAAAACAAGCAAAGCAAACCATTTGAAAGACCGGTCTGAATGGAACTGAGTACGAGAACCACCAGCTCGTTATCAATGACGCCACAAATTGCTATTGAAATGGCGCTTTTATAAATTTTGGAGCCCTAATGCATGTTTCTGTGTTCCGCGAGGGTAGCGTAATTAGGAACTATTTAGCGACCATGTGCAGAGTTATTCTAAAGTAGTACAGGAGGGGGGAGGGTACATATTGCATAGTCATACTATTACTAACATTCCAGGCATATTAGCAGTGGCGCAACGAAGGGCCCCGCTGACATGGTTACCAGGCGAAGAATAATGCCTGTACTGATCTGCTGAGCTTGTATCTGGTGGGGTGCATTTCCTCTGTGTTTCCTCTGTTCAGCTTGTCAGATGGAAGACCTAGATCTGGTAAGATAGTTTCCATTTTAATTGTAATGTAATTGTTCAAGTCAGCCTCTTCCTTAAAATTTATAGTTCGACACTACCTCGCTCTTTTCAGCAAGCATCTTTAAATGACCACTCAGCTTACGTAAGATAATGGACTCAAGCAAAGCGAATTGTGTTTCTATTACTTACTACGATATCACAATCTATCCAGCTCTAATCTCCCACCTCAGGTTCGAGTTAAGTTTATAGAAAGTATTACAGTGGGTACTTCACATCACGTAGCCACTGTAACAGCGAGTATTACTACAGTGGGCTAGAGTCACGTGAACCTTCAGACGTATATTCTCGCCTATGAGGAGATCAGCAAGATATTCGCCGTCTTAGGCTCTGTTAGTGTCGGACTTTATTTTGGATCTGTAAGTATCGGACTTTATTTAGGCTCTGTAAGTATCGGACTTTATTTAGGCTCTGTAAGTATCGGACTTTATTTAGGCTCTGTAAGTATCGGACTTTACTTAGGCTCTGTAAGTATCGAACTTTATTTAGGCTCTGTAAGTATCGGACTTTACTTAGGTCTGTAAGTATCGGACTTTATTTAGGCTCTGTAAGTATCGGACTTTATTTGAACGGACATTAATTGGACGCTGGAGGCCCTCATTTTGATATCCGTTCAAATAAT